CCTAGCCGAAAGGCCCGAAATAAACCCTAGCAGAGCAATAGAATTCACCGGAATACGGGATTGAAGATCACAAAATATGATAAAATGAAGAACACAAAATATCAAAGTCAAAACCTTCATGTCTTCATCTTCTAAAGCAAAACTATCAAAAAATACTAATAGAAATGAGAAACGAGATACAAACAGTGAAATAGATTAGGGAATGTGTGAAGCGTAAGCGTAGACGCCGTCGTGCCGAGTTCTGACGAGACTGAGAGGCGGAGAGGAGACTGAGAGGCGGAGAGGAGACTGAGAGAATCGGAAAACCTAAACAGAAGCCAGTACTCAGGAGACGGAGCGAGACGAGAAGCCGAGAACAAATAAATTATGACCCCGCGACTCGCTCGACAGACGCCCTAAATTGTTAAAGTCGCGGGTCATTTCGGGTTACAATCGGGTTTCCGGGTTAACCCGGACCCGACCCGAATAACTAAATGGGTCGAAATTCCAGACCCTAACCCGACCCGTTATTTAACCGGGTCAACCCAAACCCGAGAATTTCAGGCCAGTTTCGGATCGAGTTTTCGGGTCGGATCAATTGTTGACAGGTCTATTTATGTATGATGACTACAAAGGAAGCAATCGAGATTACGGTAGGTATAAATGCTCGTTAAGCCATAATATTGTCATTAGTGTAATAATAATAATAGTAATCATTCTATAATACTTAACATAGATCAAAACCAAGACATCAATATTTTTTTATTTTCAAACTCAATAAATACATTAATTACAATTCATTAGTTTATGTTCTCATGAAATGAGGAAGAAAATTTATATGCAAAAAGTAAAACATTTCAGGCTCATTATTTTTATATAAAATAAAATTGCATATATGAACAGATAAGCTGAACGAAAATTTTATCTAACAAACCATAAGAATAAAATGGCTAATTATGAAGTTACAAATTTTACATGATAGGAAACGCAAAATTTTTCATGTTAAATAACAGCAGTGTAGCAGAATGTCAGGAAGGCAAACAGGGATGACAAACAAAGGAAAATCTGCTGCTATTTACACACAACTGAGCTCTCGAGACTGACTTCTTCTCATGCTGCAAGGAGCTTCTTTATATCTTTCTGCAATGCAAATACAGAAGAAGAAAAATCATTTCAGAAATTTGGAATATGAACTGGAAGAGGCAGTAACATGAGCAGATTGCAAAAATACAAAGATGCTGCCAGAATGTCAAGAGAAAATTTCAGATAATAGCACCAACATCCTTCTGAGATTATCCTATTTCATTCAAATATCCAATAAGAGCTTCTCCAGCCGAACTTCAAACGGCTATATAACGTCGTTCAATTGCTCCAGTGGAATGCCAAAAAAAATACTAAAAGTATGCGGGTGAATAATGCGACGCCAAAAATTTTTTATAAATCCAAAAAATAGGATAAAATAAAGTATGATAAAGAATATACTACTAATATTTTTTTGTGTTAGAAAATAAAGTTCGGTTAGAGACAAATTACTGCATTTTGAAGTAAAATTTGAGTTTTTTTGTTGGAGATGCTCTTAGGACCTCTAACCAGAGGTTAAACTAGTAAAAGAAAAACAATTTTTTTGTATTCCAATGTGTTTAGCTTCATAACCAGCACAATTTTGAGTAATTTTTATAAGCTTGTATAATTCATGAGCAAAACAAGATTAAAGTGATCGTGTTCGGCTCAATAATATTAAGGCACACTCATACGCACATCATATACGTAAGATTTGAATACAAGACATCTTGATTAGTAGTCAAAACTCCCAACCAACAAATCAGGTAAACACCATGTTCTTAAACAACATATTCAGCTCAATACATAAATGAGCATAACGCAAATAGAAAATTTTGACTCATTTGCTTAACAAGCAAAGTGGAAAAACACAAACTCGCTCAAATTTGACTCATTTACACCTGCTCGGAGTTAATAATATCAGTTGATAAGCGATCACATACACAGTGATGCAACCAAGGATATAACAGTAAAATATATTTTTCTGCCAACTTTGAAAGAGCGCTTGAATGATGCATTAAATAAGATATGCTAATCCAGCAACTAATGTTGTCAATTAGTCATTACTTCTAAATGTTTTGAATTAATGAGGCGGCCAAATTGCTCTATATAGCTGGCAGTAGTGCAAGCCAAGAGTTTGCGTGAAGATATGTAAATCACCTCCTTCATTCGGGTTTTGTTTTGTACAAGAGCCAAGAGTTTTTTAAGTTTTTCTCAATTTTCTTTCTTCCATTATTTCACTTTTCCTGAGCAACAAAAAGCATTATTAGTTTTAAGTGATTCTTATCTTTAGTAATCGATGGTTGGATTGAAACTGGTGGAAAAATAGTGCACAAAGGGTTGGACAATTGATGGTGGTTGGTTTGGTAGTGACAAGATCTTTATGGAAAAGATGAAGTTGATTGCTTATAATACTGTGTGAGGTGGTTGTTGAAGGGGATTGGTTGGTAGGAATGTAGGATTGGTTTTGCTTAGGAAGGGTTATTTACCAGATAGCACTTTTGAGTATGAATAATGCAAAAACAAACAACTATTTAAACAATATCAAATTGAGTTTAGAGGCCTTGTAGAGGGGAGATTATTACATGCGGAGTTCGAAAACAGAGAACCGTTCGGGCTGTCACTATTCGACCCGACCCGTTTTTGCAAACGGGTCAATTTTTTGGACCCGAACCCGACCTGCCAAGTGAGTCCCCTTCGTTGCTGTTCGACTTTGTTGCTCGCTCCTTGGATGACGTTCTCTTCTTGTCGGATCGGAAGTTACATCATTTTGATCAGAAGCACTGAAGCAATGACAGGAGTTCGCTTGCTGCCTCACTGGCTCTTTCGTTGTTGGTCAACTTCACTCATTGGACAACGTTCTCTTCCCGTCGGACCGAAAGTTACAACATTTTGATCGGAAGCAACGACGGGCATTTGCTCGCTGTGAAGGAGTTGCCACCTCGCCGGCTCCTTCGTTGCTGTTTGACTTCGCTCCTTGGATGACGTTCCCTTCCGATCGGATCGAAAGTTACAACATTTTGATCGGAAGCAACGATAGGAGTTCGCTCTCTGTGAAGGTTGTTGTTGTTCGACTTCGCTTCTCGGACGACGTTCTCTTCCGGTCAGATCGTAAATTACAACATTTTGATTGGAAGCACGACGAGATTTCGCTCGTTGTGAAGGTCGTTGCTGTTCGACTTCGTTCTTTGGATGACGTTCCATTCCGGTCGGATCGTAAGTTACAATATTTTAATAGGAAGCGACGGCGGGAATTCACTTGCTGTGAAGAACTTTCTCCGTTTCGTGCGCTTCTTCGGCCAAATCCCGTAAATATGCTGATTCGAGTCAAAACCGGGACATTCTCGGGTTTCTGGGTCAACCCGACCCAAAATTTGAAAAGGGTTGAAAATCAGGACCCGAACCCCGATCCGGAATTCAAGTTCGGGTTGACCAAAAATTTTCATGTCAGGTTCGAGTCGAGTCGTGTCCAATATTGACACCCCTCGTTTTAATATGTCAAAAACAGGCCTACTAAAAGCGTAAAATAGGATGACAATATTTTCAAAGCACAACCAATTTTTTTCCACGTAAAAATAGAATATCGTAATAAATAATTTTTTAAACGAATAAATAAATCATTTTCTGGCAATTAAACCACTAGAAAAAATTTCGAAGTACTTTAAGTCTCTTAAGAGCAATCATACAAAATAAAAACAAGTTAGAAACCACATCAATATAAGTTCATAAATATAGACCATCCTTCCACAGTTTATGGAAATAAATTTTAGTAGCAATGTCCTTGTTGAAAGAGAAAGATTCAGCACAACTTAGGCTTCGTTTGAGACGGCTTTCTTATTGTTTCTTAAAGCAGCTTTTTCGTACAAAAATTTTACGAAAAAGCTGCTTTAAGAAACAGTAAGAAAGCTGTCCCAAATGAAACCTTATTCAAAAGGATATACAATTTTAAATGAGTACATGATTATGGAAACTCACCTCGATCTGGAATGGTGAAGTGGTAGGCGGGTACCTCTCAATAACTTTACCATTCTTGTCTATCAAAAACTTTTCGAAGTTCCACTTGATAAGGTCTCCAAGAAATCCTCCAGCACTTGCCTTGAGAAACTGATACACTGGAGCGGTGTTTGGTCCATTTACATCAACCTGTTAGTAAAACACAGCAAACAAATTGAAAGAATATCAAGCATACCTCCGGCCACACCACATGGCAGCATACTAAAGAAAAATAACGGTAGCAAGTTCAATTAAAAGGAATACCTTATCAAAGATGGGGAATTCTGCTTTAAATTTTGTACAAGCAAATCGCTTTATATCTGGATTTGATCCAGGCTCTTGACCTCCAAATTGGTTGCAAGGAAATGCCAAAATCTCAAAGCCTGTATTCAATAATAAGGTAAAAGGCCAGGAAGGAAGAAAATTGGTATCTGAAATCGAAGTAAATTTATATTTGAGTAACAATAACGAAGCCCATAGATCTATTTGTATATATAAACACTCAAAAGGAATGAGGAAGATATAGAGACTTTGTCAGCTGGATTGGCAAAACTTACACAGCCTTCCATAAATGATCAGAATAGTGCTGCAGGAAATGCATACGGTGAGTATAAAAGGTACAAGGAATTTGGCACAATGAAGTCCATGAACTCTGTTTCAATGACTCCAACATCTTACAGCTAATAACAAAATTTCATTGTCGTATAATTAAAGGTAGGATTTCTTATTTTTTATTTTTTTCTATGTCCTGAACTATTAGGTGTATTGTGGCACCTCTAGTCACATTTGAGGACACAATCATCATTTTAGGCAGGTTGGCATAAATTTTTTTTTTTCAAAATAATCAATAAGTAAATAGGTTAAATAAAGAAGAAAACTAGCTGAAGGTCGAAATAATGGATTTGTGCAAGGTGAAGAAAATAGGGGAAAGTTCATCAGCATCCAGATCATTAGCTTTATCTAATCATATGCGGTCAGGAGTATGAAATAATATTTCCATTCATTCTTATTAAGTGTAGTGTTCCATGAGATGTTAAATATAAAATGCACAAAATTTTTGCACAATTTCTAATCATGTTAGCTTTTGATATAGGTCGTTCAAGGGTTTATGGTTTTTAATTCAGATCTAGCATGCAATATGGATTTAGATGCAACCAATAAATGTAACAAAATGCAATTTCCTAGAAAAAATAGTATTAATTTAATAATTTTAAAAAACCAGGGAAGAATGAGCTTAGGCCTTTTACTATAAATTAACAATAAGAAGGTTAAAGAGCATGGAAGGAAAACAAATAACTAAAATTTTATGGAAAAGAAACAAAATTAGACTGCAGAAAAGCAAGACTCAACCATGCTTTCACCAATTATAAGAAAAGTGACGAAGGAGAGAATAAAGGAAGGAGTCACAAAAAAAAAAACTAGAATTGTGCAGTACAATGAGAAATCCTCTCCTTGAATTTTCAAGCCTTATACATGACTAAAGAATTAAATATTAGAAGGATAAGGATTTGCATATTTAAGGCATTTTTTACTAACATATCTTTTTTGCAGACCTCAAATACCAATTAATAACCCTCATGAAATAAAAAATAAATAAAATAATAAAAAATCTACACAAGAAAACAAGCAATGGACTGAAAGATCTGTAAGGAAAATTTGCATAGCCAATGGAAACCCTAGGAAGAATCAACAGTTGAAACAGCGAAACCGCATATCCATAAATATGGATAGAGAACAGAGAAAGTGAACCAACTCAACTAGCAACAGAAGTCATTTGCAAGAAAAGCTAAAGAAAACGATAACATAAAAGTCACAACCAAAGCTATAATCTCACGAAACAGAACAGGCAAACGATGCTTCGAAGGAGCAATCATAGCAAATAACGCAAAATAGCCAAAACAGAGAAACTAGAGAGGTAGGAATAGAGCACAGCATCCATTCTCCTGTTCTTGAAAAAACCTGGCTTAAACAAATAGTGAAAATCATAGTCTTTGAACATTTTTAGCATAATTATTTAATTTTTATAAAATTATCTATGAATCATATGTAGATCTGCCTCTCCACGACATAAAGTACCCCTAATAACACTCATTAGCAGTGGATGTAAGAACAATGACTTACCTGGGAAATATGAAAATAATATATTGAAAATGAAATTAGATGAGCGGTGGAAAAAAAGAAAAATCAAATACATTGATTGATATTTCATGGTAAACACTTAGATTGGATATATTAAAAGTAAGAGTAATACAAAATTTTCAAAATTTTTAACTTTATGCATTCATCCAGAACTTGCTTTTCTGACATTCAATTTCTTAAAAGAGTTCTGTAGAAAACCTTTTTAGATTCAGAACGTCCATAAACTTATGACCTTCTTCAAATTCCACAGTTTTCCCTTAATACGAACAATAAATCCATAATCATTACCATTAACAGCAAGCTTACAAAGAACATGCAAATCAGGCATATTAATAAAGGGTAATGTTGTAGGATATGCACATGAAGGTGTACGGAGAAAATACTTGCATGCTTTATAAATACACTATAGATAATTCCGAGTGAGGTATGTGACAAAAATTAAAATAAGGAGCCACTTGGTCTGTTGAAAAAAGAATTTAGAGTAAAATTGAATGCGGTGTAAAAGAAAAGAAATGTATTTGAATTATTTGGATGAGTGTAAAATATATAAATGTGATTTTTTTTATTCGGCATAAAGGAAAATGAATGCATTGTAAAAACTAAAGATATTGGTGGCCACCGATAGGCGGTGGTGGCAGCGGCTGCGGGTGGTGTGCAGGCAACAACTATAGTGGTCATTGGCGGCGGCGACATCGATTGTGACAAGTAGCAGGTCAAGAGTGGTCGGCCGCAGACAGTGGCAATCGACAGCAAATGATGGCTGATGGCAGAGGTGATTGTTGGTGGCAGCTTGCAGTGGTATTAGAGAATTTATAGCATGGTTTAAAATTGCACAATATGAGGCTCGCCTTGAGGCCTGCCTTTGCGCAATTCCAGTAAAAAACGCCTCGATGCTTACACCTCAAGTCTTTTTTATGAGGCTTGCGCCTCAACTTGGTTAAGGCCCGCCTTGAGACCCGCCTCGCCTCACTGGCATGAGGCTTACGCCTCACGCTATATATATTAAAACTTACATAAATCTTGAAGTAAATGCTCGACATTGGACTCTATAGGAGAGGAGGAAGGGGAGAGAGCCGTTCATCATAATGATGATTCAAATGAAGAACCCCTTAGTGATGATAGTGCTGATGACTTATGAGTTCTTATGTGATATGTCATTGCTATTTATTTTTGAAAATTGGAATTATATGTTAATGAAAAGATTATTGGGATTTGGGAAAGATAGAATTTTGAGTTGAACTACATTTCATGTTGTCTTATTATTGGGATATTTTGATTTCACTTCATATCTTATACTTTTTTATGTTTTATATTATTCATCCATTAGTATATAAAAAATTTATCATTTTATGTTTACGCAATCTTTTGATTTTGAGGCTTACGCCTCGCCTCACGAATGAAAAACGCCTCAATAACCGAATACGCAATTTTAAACATTGATTTATAGTGTATTAAAAAATCAAATATAACAACTTTCAAATACATCAAAACATCAAAATTAAACTAGAAGTACTTCAAATGCTTAAAAATTTTACTCAGCATTTCTTTTAATTCAGACCTAATACTACTATTTTCAAGACCCCTCATTTGGAATGATTTACACCCTTTTTACTTCAAACCAAACAACTCCTAAATAATTATATTTAACTCCAAAAAGTCCTTTGATAAGATTCAAGGAATGCTTTACACCCCCTTTTACTTCAAACCAAATAGCTCCTAAATAATTATATTAACTCCAAAATGTCCTTCGATAAGAGTCAAAACCTATTCCTAAAAAAGACTTGGTTTTAGAAAATATTAAAATAATATTTCCTTTATTATATTTTTAAACAAGCAATTGACTTTTAACAATAACAAATGGAGAAAAGGAATTCATAGTAGCCGACCCCACGTAGCTGGGACAAAGGCTTGATTTTTGTTATTTGTTGTATGTTATAAATTTTGTACAAAAAATGTTTTAAAAAAGCAATGAGAAAGTTGTCCCAAATGAACCTTAGATAGTGCATTGCATAGACTCTGTTTTACAATGTCATAAAAATGTAAAACTACCCCCCCCTTCCCTTTTTTTTTTATGTAGTGAGTTAGGATTCCACTGCATACAAAAAATACACACTTGATGAAGTCACTCTACATCACTCCAAGATATTATCCAGAAAAAAACAAACTATAGAGCTCATTAAGAATCAAGCTCACATTAATTTTGCATGCTTGTGTTGCTTTAATTTAAGCAAAAAGGTACTTATTTTTATAATAAGGAGATTCAATATCTAAGGCTTCAGTGAGAGAGCGTTTGATGCGGAGCATTTTAATGATAGTCTTCCTTAGGTCAGTCATATCTAATTTATACTTGTTATCTAGGAAGATTCTCATGTTGGCTTATATAAAGAAGGTTGTGTAGGTAATAAGGCATGAACTATTATAGTCTCCATTTTGAAGCTTAGCTTTGTCATTGGGATGGGTGCGTTTGTGTTTATGTCCTTGGGATTTGGGAAAACACTCAAGCAGGGCTATTTAAAACTCATTCCCAGGTCGATCCACTGCATAGTGTTTTCACCTTTTTTTTTGCTTTTAAGAATTTTTTTATGTAAATTGTTTTAGAAAACAATATAAAGCTGTTCGACCAAGCTAAGCATTTTGTTTAGCAATAACTTTTGGCCACTGCTTTTATGTAGTATCAATAAATTTTTGTATTAAAAATTAATATGTTAGAAAACATTACGAAAATTATCCAAAAAGAAAGCCTTTAAAATTTTAACAATTGTGTATATCATTAAAATAATCAAATATTCTTATGTTTTGCTTTACTTTAGAATGAGCTTTAATAATCTTTAAAATATTATTATAAGATTTAAAAGGAAAATATAATATTATTTGAAGAATTATTTCATATATTTTTATTAATCTCAAAAAGTTTTTTTTTACATGAAATTCCTGACACGTGGCGGAATTTATTCGATAAAATCCGTAAAGAGAAGGATATCTTCTCGTGGTGCAAATGCTATGCCCACACTGCTTCAGATTTTCCTCACCTCTGAATTTTGGATATTGGTTTGGAAATGATTTGATTGGAATTACTTTTTAAATTATTGAGTTTTTATTGATGAAGGTGTATTAAAAATTCATTAATTTTTTAATATTTTGTATCAAAATAATTTATTAATAAATGGATTATTTATTTTTATTTCAAATTTAATTATTTATTTAGAATATTTTGGAGATTTTAACTTTGCAATTCTTCTAAATT